CTGGAGGATGGCTTTAATATTAAGGACATTGCGTCGTTACTTTCTGTTTCAGAAAGTACTGTTTATCGAAGAATGGGTTGTTACGGCCTCAGTCAGTTGCAGCTCACAGAAAAAAACAGAAGGTCAGCTTGATGAAGTTGTAGAGGAAATAACTTGGGAATATCCTTCTTGTGGATAGGGACTGCTAAAGCAAATACTGGCAGATCGGGGAATAGAGGTTTAGAGGATGAAGCTCTGTGACAGCATTCGTAGGGTCGATCACGAAGGAGTCGAAAACAGGAAGAAAGGCCGTCTACGTCGAAGGACCTATGATGTTCAGGGTCCATTTCTTCAGAAGATAGCTTACATATTTGATCCACAGTTAGCTTTTCTCGCTGGAAGTTCTCAATATTAAAGATGCCCAAGGTGCATCTTGTCAAGTATAGTTGACAAATTGTCGTTGCTTGTTCTCGCCATTTTGTTGTCTTTAACACCGGGGATGAGAAGGAAATGAGACCCACCTAAAACCCGGTTTAACCAGTTCGTGATAGCAAGAGGCCTGGGCACTTGAGCTTGGTATCGGAAGTGAGGTCAAGAAGACATAAAGACGGATCCACATCACGTAATGAAGATACATATTGAAGATACCAGACAACATAACAGCGTAACCACATTACATCATGACAAGAGCACAACACATAACTTAACAACCTCAATACATCACGATAAAACCACACCACGTAATGAAGTTATTACACCACATCATGATAAAAACGCACCCCGTCAGGACTACATTACAGGACATAATGAAGAAACCACAAAACATAATGGAGTGACTACAACACATAATGAAGAAACCACACAACGTAATGAAGTAACTAGAACACATAATGAAGAAACCACACCAAATAATGATAAACAACCACATAAGAAAGTTATGGCTTTCCATAGTGCTTATAGCCCGTTTACATTTGTCCTTAGCGAGAATGTATTTCGTCAAGGTGTGGTTGTTCTATTAAATCCAGTTTGTGTTTTACTTTCTGGAATGCTTCATGTATTTAAAGGCTGGTTTCCACTAGCGACGGAGTCGTAATCAGAAGCGTAGAGTGATACGATCTAGTGAAATTCAAACTGACGGAGTCGGTGGCAGAACACCGCATCCGCCTACGACTCCGTCGCTTACGATCCAGTGAAAACTAGATTGTCGGAGTCGGAA